TTCTTCTCTCACCGTCTGGAGCCTGGAAGTCCAGCATCAGGGTGTGGGCAGGGCCAGGCTCTGTCCAGAGGCTCGTGTACCATACACAGTGCAGGGTATGCAGGCGGGCACTCATTACAAGGGGACTTCAAATAATGTGTGGAAAATGGAATTCAAGGACCAGTTTATTTCTGTGCCAAACATTTTTAAATCCATGCATAATCTTCTCATAATACATACTTTTCATGAACTTTTTGAAGAGCACTCATAAAAGAACGGATGTGTGAGGTCGACATGTGTCAACATGTGTACACACTCACGTGTATGTGCCTGTGCTCGCCTGTGGTTGGTGCATGCCGGCCAGGCACTACAGCACAGCTGGGAGCAGACGGAAGCTCTCTGAGGCCGGCAAGACCCAAATGTCCAGTTACACCATTGTCCTTGAGGCTGCTGGGCCAGCAGACGGCAGCACTGCCTTTTCCCGCACTTGAAGACGTGGCACACCGACCCTCTCGGAGCTGCCTAGCTTAGCCAGTAGCCAGCCCCGGCCGCGACCCCACACCTCCCATAGTCTCTCCGCTCCAGGTCCCCCCCAGTCTCTGCATCCCTGCCCACTCTCTAGCAGCGCTCGGCTTTGGGCTTTCCATGTGGAAGCCCACTTGCCCTGAAGTCTTCTGCCTCCAAGGGTGACCAACCGAGGCACATCCCTGGGTGAAGAACAAAGCTACACCCCAAGTGTCACCCAGAGACTCCCAGAGGCTCCACAAACACATTTTGCAACCTTGGGGCAGGAGCCAGGGCATTTGCTCAAGACTCCAGCTTCCTGTGGAGAGTGGGGCTTGCCCAGATGCCGGACTAGGTGCTGCTCAACATGCCTGCTAATCTGAACAAGGGCCGTGTCTCTCTGGGCCTCAGTTTCCCCCATCGGCACTGTGAAAGGCCTAACTGAAACCAGCATCCAGAAGGTTCTGTCTCTGGCCTGTCAGCCCCAAGACCTCCCTGGCAAACACACATCACACCCCAGTCCTCACTCCAGCCATGACTTCTCAGGAGACTGCAGGTGGCCTTCCGGGGACTTCCTTCCTGAGACTCTAGCCATCCAACCCAGGCAGGCAGATATCTGTCCCAGTAAGCTGGATCCTAATCATTCAGTCAGAATGTTTGCTGTGTGAATAACTGATATAATAGATACAGGTTCAGGCCAAGATTCAGCAATAAGGCGGGGCTGGCCTCCTAGCCACCCCTGCCAAGACCCTCCTATGGAGAGCTAGACCAATCCCCAGCTCTTGCCTACCTCCTGCAGCACCCAGTGATGCAGGCCCATTCTTCATCTCGTCCCCTAAAACCCTAGGGTGCAGAGGCCTGGCCAGGACCTGAGATGTCTGGGCTTTCCTCTCTGCATAGGCACCTCCTCTCCAGAGACCCTAGGCTGCACTCCCGACTGTGGCTGGCAGAGAGGAGCTACACACACTGGAAGTCTCCAGTGACCCTAATCTGGTGTCCTGGCCTCAGGACAGTAAGGGGTCTCAGAGGGCTCAGGGGAGCCACTCTGCTAGGCCTTTCCTAGGGAGACAGAGGGGGGTGGAGGGCTGGGGCCAGAGCCTAGGACACTGCCCTGAGTCACAGACTGACTAAGTCAGTGGGGGCGGATGGATGTCCTGGCTCTGGCCCAGCTCTCCACTTGGTGGACGGACAAACTGAGTCCACTGTGGGCAACCTGGGGACAGGGGATGAGGGGGCGACAACACCTTTGCCTGCAGGACCCGCGTATGCCCAGCCCGGATGGTGCATCTCACAGCCCTTCAGTTCTGATTCTGCTCCCCAGTCCCCGAGCTCGAAGCAAGGCTGAACCTCAGTTTCCTCATCTGTGCTGACAGCACGTTGTCTGTGCCGAGAAAGGGGACTCACATGAGGTCCGGCCGGTGGCGGTGCAGGATGGCGCAGAAGGCCAGGCCATCGCGGAACGACGTGGTCATGTTGGTGATGCTCACGTCCCTGTAGCCCTCGCACTGCTGCCGGCACCACTGCTGCAGCGCTTTGATGGCGGCCATGCGGGCAGCGGCGCCCACCCCGGCAGGGCGCGGGAAACTGCGACGCGCTTTCCGAGGACCGCAGCCTGGCCCACCCTGCTGGACAGACGCACGGAGCGACGGACAAACAAATCGGCCGACCGGCGGCGGCTGAGCCGGATCCGTCGGAGTAGGACAAGGAGCAACGGCCGACTCAGTGGGTCCAGAGAGCGGCGGAGTCAGCCCGCCCACAGGCCTTGCGCCCACC